ACAGATAGGACTTACCTGTTGAAGCATATCCCCTGCGTGTTATCCTCAGAATCTCGTTGTTTGCACAATAAGCCGGCACAATGGCTAGTATTCAGCTCCCGCTCGAGGCATTTACCTCGCGCCTGAACCTCACCGAAAGACTCAATGGCATTCGCTCCCAGTCCATGTCCAGTCGCTTCGCCAACCTACGGCCCGTCTCCGAGTTCTTGGATATCAAGCGAGTCTCTAAGCCGGCCAACTTTGCTGAATTCCAGAGCCGCGCAAGCTACAACCTCTCCTACTTCTCTAGCAACTATGTTGTTGTTTTCATTGTGCTCAGCATCTACAGTCTGCTCACCAACCTGGCCCTCCTTTTCGTCATCCTCCTTGTTCTCGGAGGCTCTTATGGTATTGGTAAACTGGAAGGCCGGGATCTAGATGTTGGTATTTTCCGTGCAACCACTAGCCAACTCTACACTGCTCTTTTGGTTGTTGCACTTCCCCTAGGTCTCTGGGCGTCACCGTTGTCTACTGCTTTGTGGCTTACCTGTGCTACCGGTGTGTGCGTTATCGGACATGCCGCGCTGATGGACAAGCCGATCGAGAATGCTTTTTCGGGGGAGGCGGTCTAGGTGGTCGACCGCGAGCTCCTTGTGATGTGCCCCTATGGGGAAGACCACTAGGGGCATTGTGCAGGGGGAAGAGTCAGAGGAGTCAAAATCGGCTGACGGAGAGTGAAAGTGGTGAAGAGGAAGAAGAAGACGAAGACGATGAAGACGAAAGTGATGGCGAGGAGGAGGAAGGCGAGGAAGATCCAGGAGTGTCTTTGGTTCCTTTTGTCGATAACAGGAGAAGGGAGACTTGTGGTGGTGAAGTGGATGAGATACCCGGAGAATGGTCTGAAAGTGATGAGGATGAAAGCATGGATGAGGCTGAAGACTCAGATGGTGAGAATAATGATGATGGCTATGATGGTGTGACTGGATATGACGGGCATGAGCTCTCACACAATGACACTATTGCGTATGCAGTGGAACTTGCCATGCGAGACGACGATGATGTTCTGGTTGAAAATGCGCTTGAAAAGATTCGATATGCACGAGCGAACCGGTTGAACAACTTCACCCTTACGGATAGGGAGGTTGACGCATTGGAAAGGAGGAGACGACGGAATGCCGAAATTGGACCCAGCCGGCCACGCACCCCAGCTACCAACGGAACAGTTAAAACGCCCTCAAAAGGGAGTGCCAGGCAGATATACAGCTCTTCTAAGAAAAGTAGGCCATCTGACACCGTGAGCGTTGCCGATACGACTTATTCATCACCGGCATACCTTGGGCACTACTCTGTCCCATCCTCTCCGGTTCCTAGTCATATATCTCTAAGGAAATCATCTAACCGGCTTAGGCAACCACCTGCAACATCGCCCAGACATGAACCAAATTTCCCACCACCGCAGCCACCGCCACAGCCTCAGTTTTACCCCTTCGACCCGCATCCCTCAATGTTGCCTGGACCTACTACCGCTGGAGCAATTCCTCTGTCTGTGCCTCAATCTCCATATCCTATGTACCCCCGGCCGGCATATCCACCTCCGCCTCCAAACATCATGTGTCAGCCTGTGTATTCTCCTTTGCCTTACAATAACTATCTAAATCACCCCTCTCCTGACCCGTTCGCAATGCATGGGCCACCTCTTCCATCCAACCAAGCTACCAATGGGACTGGCCATAGTGTTGACGGCGTCGAAACCATAAACACTACCTCTAGTAGTAGAGACGAAGGATTTGCCCGCCGAAGAAAATCATCAACGAAATCGTCTCCTAAAAAGACACAACCCGCTTCCACAAAACCGCCTGACACACCCAAACCTGATCATGCATCCCCTGCCTCGCCTACTATGACAGAGACTTCCAAGTCATCTTCTTCCAAACCTACTACCACCGCAACTCGGAATGGCTTTGTTCGACCAAAGAGGAAAAAGTACAAATGGATTTAATACTCGCTGCCTTTCATCTCCCTCGCCGACCAGTTTCTTCTCCTGACTCTTAACCTGCGCAATGTCTCTTGAAAGTTTTCATTTACCGGGACGCACTTCATGGGTACTGATTTTTAATGCCATTAGACTTGTACATCTCGTCTCTTTCAAGATTATACTTCTCTTACCTTCTAGTCGGATACTTTCCAATTATTAATTGTCCTCCAGAACGAGCTGCCATGCTCTAATCTCCTTTCCATTGTCCATACATTGCAGCTATCCTAGATAAAGTTCCAGCGAAGTTAATCAATGCCATTCACGTACTGAGTGATCCATCCAAAGCCCATTTTTGATAGATCCTGTCTATACCTACACTGTCGATTTCATTGAAGAGGCATGTACTTATTCAAATGCCAGTCGAGGTTACTGCCGGTTTTTTTTTTTTTTTTTTTTTTTTTTTTTTTTGGATCCATAGCCTGGCGACAGGGCTAAAATGCAGCATGTCCTAGGATTATGCAGGGACAAAGCAAACCGACAGATATCACACTCGGAGATTCAGCTTGCTCCCACCAATCGCCAACGAGGAGGCCCCATGGAGGATGAATTCAGCAAACCAGCCGTGTTGCATTTGACTTTTTCCAAACAACCCAGGTATACTACATGATATTTGGCTGCCAGACATGGAACACCCGCTATCCGCATGAAAAATAATCAGCGAATAAAGAGCTATGGAGCCCGTTAGTTATTCTGGTATAGAGGAAATGAGAAACAAGAAACAAAGTCAACCAAAAGTCTCTTGACTTTCTGCTCTTCCATTGGGCAATAATTACTGTCCTATTTCGGCCCAGATAGCGACGATCCCTAGTAGTTCCACTGACAGGCCAGAGCTCTCACTTCGCGATCTATCTATCTCCTCGCTAGATCTTTGGCGGCTTCTCACAGATAATCTCACGAATCCAACCACTGCAGCGTCGTAGTGATGTTGACGTTGTAGTTGTAGTAATTGTTGTAGTTGTCGAAGTTGAGATGCTGGCTCGTGCTTCCCATGCGGGTCGAGCTCTCCCGTTAATGCCGAAATTTAACTCCGCCGGCTTTTAGCGGGTGCGGCCGATGACATCATCATCTGACAGGCCGCGAGAGCTTTTTTTTCCCGAGACTCGACACCTGGCACGCTTCGTGGACACATTGCTCTATACACATAATAGACAGCCAGACTCTGCAGTCGACGCGGAGTAGGAGCTGTGACATTCGCTCAACTGTTATTCCTGTCTTCTGGTTTATATATATCCTCAATTGCCGTCATTTGTTACCTATAACCGCCCACCCAGGAAACGCCGGAATCTCGAAACCCACCTTAGTTTGCCTGGCTAACAAACTAGCTGATTCGACACCATGTGGTATATTTCCTACTGGCTTTTTCCCCTGGTGGCAGCCTGCGTATGGCTAGGTATGGCAAGCCTGACCCCAAAAGCACAAGAAGAAACCTGCTGATAAGCCCGGATAGCGACACTGATAGTGCTCCTGGTGCGGTGGAAGATTGATGGATCCCCCGCATATCCGTCAATGGAACCAGGCCAGTCTATAGCGTATGGTACCCGAAAAATAGCAGCAATTCGTTGCATTGTACTGACTTTGATTTCATAGATATATATCGGACGTAGCTGCACAAGGCCTCAAGCCGCTGTTTGTAGCGGGATGTGCCGTCTCGTCTGTATTCTTTGTGCTGGCATTCATCTCGGAACGCTGGCTACGGCATAAATATCGCCTTGTGCCGAACAGAGGAGTATATGATAAGACTCTTTCTTTGCTAGCGATATTATTCTCCATGGTCGGGGCAGCTGGGCTTATTCTTCTGGCCCATTTTGACACCCTAAAACATTCCCGCCTTCACGGTGGATTCCTGATAATGTTCATGTAAGTTTGGTCCATCCTCATTACGCCAATTGCTAACATCCGCACGTTACTAACGTATATTGTGTTGACCAACGTTAGAGGAGGGTACCTGCTCAGTGCTCTATTCATATGCCTGGAGTACCTCCGCCTTGGAGTTGAATACAAGGAGCACAAAATCATCTTCATGAGCTTCCTGGTCAAGGTGTTTTTCATTTTGGTTGAGCTAGCACTGGCAATTGCATATAAAGTCCTTGGAAAGAGAAGACGAACGAGAGACACCGCTGCGATTATTGAATGGGTTGTTGCTTTCATTTTCGCGCTATACGTGCTCTCGTTTGTTGTTGACTTGTTCCCTGCAGTGAAAAGCAAAGATCATATTCCACAAGGCGAACGTTCTCGGGCCATGGCTCAAACATCCTCGAGCCTGGAGTCTGGGTCCTATCCCTCGACGCAGCCCCGGCTGAGCCAAGAAGCACAACTGGCTACCGATCAGATGGTGGATGTAGGAGCTACGTACCGGGGACGAGTGGGTGATGGAACCAGAATGCCCGCTGCCACTTATAATCCGCATACTTATAGACAGACGCCGCTCTCATGAACAGGAGATTTCGTATGTATATAGGATTATGATACCCACTGCATATAAATGGGAGGAGGCACTATGATGGCAACCCGGAGCATTTGTGTGGTCAGAAGATAACAGTATAAAACTTAGCTAATGATTGAATAGTCATTATGATATAACTAGCATTCTAGATAATCCAAGCAGGTTGTGCCTATTAATTTACCTGATGAGGATGATATTTTGACTGACCAGGGACTGGTCTTTTTATACATCTGGAGGATTACGTGCAGCCAGCTAGCTGTATAATAGGGGGGGAGGGAAAGAACTCGGGCTGAACAGGCTCATAACGAGATGATGATTATTATTAAGAGATGCCTTGAAGAACTTTTCAGAAACTCCATACCCAGCAGATACGCTGTAAAGCTAACTAAAAGAGTGGTGTATATTTATATATCTATCTAGTTACCAAGCCAGTCAAATCAATAATCTGCCCCTGACTACCCGTTAGGTCGACTATCTGGCTGTCATCAGGATCATCATCCAGAACTATAACTCCTTCTTGTCCGGCCTGTTGGTTGTCCCGTACGGAGTATATATATATATAGATATAGATATAAATAGATACATGAAAGAAAATAAACTATCTCCTTTCAACCCTTTCTATCATCTCGTAGTTGTATTATGGTCGATAACGGTGTATACCCTTGGATGCAAAGATTAAGCCATTTTTGCGGGTGTATTGGTCCTCGATGGCACCCGACTAGCTGGACGGCCGTGGACTGGCGATAGGATTCTTCCCCAGAAGCTGCGTGGAAAGGGGGTTCACTCCAAGGTTGGGCTCTTTGAGCTTTGCCGTTAAGGAAGTTGATTTGATGGTCATGCCGCGAATCCAGAGCCCACTGTAATCACTGGGAACCTGACACTGCAGGGTCAACGAAACCCCGGAACTTGTACCTAAATATTTATCTGGCGTCTTTCTCATGGCGAGTAGGCACCAGTTAAGCACGTGGATGCCCCCTTCACTGAGGCATTTAAACACCAGTAAAACCCGGTGATATGTTCTATCGGTGTCAAAGGTTGCTACATGTATCAATGCAGCGCACTCCGAAATTGCAGCGATAATGGAGAACACGTATGCCAGACATAAGCAGCGGCTGCTGCTGCACCGGGGGAATAACAGCATTCTGGGCTGGTACGCTAATCCCACCCATCCTAAAGCCTCTAGAATAAGGTAGGTAATCAACCAGCCACTTTTTTCTCGGTATAAAACCAGAGTTGTCTTCCTCAACGCGGAAGACCCTGCTCTGGACAAAACGAGGACCGCTATGCAGGTTATCCAGAGCCTATTCTTAGAAAACCAACTTACCCGGCCATCGTAGGCTCTCGGCTCTCTAGTAGGAGCAGAGCCACCTATCGGAGCAAAGAAAATCTCAGCAAAATATTTTTGACATATTTGCTTCTTTCTCCTTGCGTCGTCTTGACCTTTAACTGCCGACTCGCAGTAATTGGAGACGGCATCGGAGGCCAGCTACTTCCTTAACAACTGGCGATCGACTCTGGAGAGTAAAAGGATATTAGCAGGAGGAAATAGTTGATCTAAGGGAGAGGGGGTGAAAACGAACTCGTTGGCTCCTGGATCCATCTCGAAACGGTGATCAAAACGGATAGGAGGTTATCGAGGGAGGCGTATCAAGTGTTGCGCTTTATTATGGAAGGAAGAAGAAGAAGTTATTCATTCGTGTTCTTGTGCCCTCGGGCGATGGGTTAAAACCGAACAAGAGATCAGGCCATCGTTCCTCTTCTGCCTCTGCTTTCTTCTTCGAGCTTCTCTCCGCCTCTCCTTCTTCTCTTGCTCTTTGTCGGGTCGGGGCCACGGCAGGGCTGGGTAGTTAGTTAACTTAGTTAGCATAGGTGGGCTGATGGTGTTGCCGGTGCTGCTTGCTGATGCTGCTGTTACCGCCGCCTCTGCGGCCTCCAGCGCTGTTTTTGCAGTTGCTGCTCCAGCTGCCGCAGCTTCTGCTGGTCCTGCTGTTGTTACGAATGTTGTTGCTTCTGCTTCCTCCGCCGCCGTCTGCCAGGCGTCTGCTGCTGCAGCCACTGACGCGGCCACCGTAGGCCAGTGTGGTTGTTGTTTTTTGTTGCTGCAGCTGCAATTTTTATTCTGGCAATGATCTATGGTGTTTATTCAGTTTAATAACTATCGGATCACACGTCTAAGGGCTTAAAGGAGGATGTAGAGTGCGTGGACGGGGCTATAGGGTATACACAGCACTTACGTTGGGTTAAACCACTGGGCTAAAGGGGGGAAGCCCCTGTTTTTCGGGGTAGAGAGTCGTTATATCATTGACAGGTATATACCAGAGAGCCGGCTCTGGACGTCGAGATGTTAGAAGCAGTGTATGGTAATGGTATCTGAAGGAAAGGAGGAGAGACAAACTCCTTGCTCCTGGGTTCGTCTAGGAATGGTTACCTAGATGGAGGAGGTTTATACGTAAGGGTATCAACAGTGGCATGTTGGCGGGAGGGGAAGCTGTAAGCTGGAGCAACCGAACGTCGTGGGAAT